AAAGGTGGTTAACAGAGATGTTAGTTCTGTCTATGTTCCCTGTCTGGAGGTTGAAGTCTCCGAGAAGTAGAGCGGGAGGGCCAGTTTCAGGGATGTGTGAGAGGAGATTATCTAAGTCCTCCAAGAAGTTCCCCAAGGCGCCTGGTGGACGGTAGAGAACAACAATGGTTAATTGTATAGGATGGGTTACTGTGACGGCATGGAATTCAAAGGTGGAAGGAGTGAAGTTAGGTAGTTTGAAGAGGGAAAAGCTCCAGTTGGGAGAGAGCAGGAGACCAGTGTCACCTCCTCTGCCAGTGGGTCTGGGTGTATGGGAGAAGGAATATGCTGTGGAGAGAGCTGCTGGGGTGGATGTGTTGGATGGTGTAATCCAGGGGTCCTTCTCAGGTCGATTAAATGGAATCCTTGTGTCTCTCACTTGCGTAGTTTCCCTGAGTTTAGTCTCTCCCACCAGGGAAGCATGGAGAGACGCAAGGAAACCACGAGAAGCAGGGAAATGAGTTTTAAGAGCAATGGGACGTCCTTTCTTCCGGAGCGTCACGTGAAGCGACGTCCGTTTGTGATGACGCCGCACAGCTGTTCGTCTGACAGCAGCCAGCTCTGTCCCCGTTATTTTCACAAACACCTCCGCCTCTGTTAGTGCACATTTACTGACATAAACATTTGTATCATCTGTTGTAGACCCAAATACATTAAATAAAATAAGAACTCATTCTCAAAAAAGATAAACGCCATTCTTAAAATGTATTAACGAAAAAAGCGATCATGAAAATGTTTCCAATAAATGAATAAAATAATTGTTGACCACTTTGTTGTTCAGACATATCACATATTTGTAACTAAATGATACATTAATTGAAACAAAACACAGTATAGACTGAGGAGTTACTCTCATGAGTTTGATGTATTTTCTTCACTCCGCTGGGAAACTGCTCTCATGTCAAGAAGCATCAGATCAGTGCATGCCCTGCATCGTCCAATCAGTGAGCGATACACAGTAAGGGGGCGGAGCAAGTATCTGTGGATTTCATCGGAGGATGGTCTGGTGATTCCTCCATTATCGCTCCTCGCTCCTCGCTCCTCCGGCAGAAATAAGCGCCATGGGACGGTACTCAAGATGGCGCAGACAAATCAACTTCCGGTGATACCGAGGACCGAGGAGCAAGGAAATGAAAATAACCGACCTGAGACGGCTTGCTTGAAATGTAGCAACAAGACATCACAATGTTGCTCTTTTTGGACTCTGATTGGTGGAAAAGCAAACTGGAACGAGGTGTTTCGCAAATTGAACCAACTGCGAACCAACACCAACCCCAGCATGAAACAAGAAAGGAGCTTATTTGAGTGAAAAAGGGGTAATCCCATAGACTGTACAGGGGTAATACACAGCAGTCTACTACTGTAATATTTGATTCACTATTGTGGTGACTCCAGCTAAATGCGGCTGAACTTGTTCATACTGGAACTAAATTGTATGAGTACATGCTCTTAGATCTTTGCCTTGGCTCTAAGTTAAAACAAGGATTGATCTTAAAATTCTACCACTTGTATACGAGGCTCAAAATCTCCTTGCACCTCTAATTCATAAAAACATCCTAATAAGATAGAGACCAGCAAGAACTCTGAGGTCCAAAGTCAGAGGTACTCCATCGATCTTGCTCCAGCTGCAATTTTTCCATTAGTCTTTAAAGGATAAGTAAATGCTAAATGCAGGGTGGCTTAGCGCTAAACTTCTTTTAGCCAGCCATCTTTCTCAGTAGAAGGGACACATATTTTTCATACCAACATAAACGATTACACAATTTAAAAACATTTAATGCATAACTGGCTGAAACAAAACCAAACATGCATACATACACCATGCCAATGCAAACATGTCACGTGTGTGAGAAAACGTGTGTGTGTAAGTAAGTGTTGTATATTCTATTTTATTATAATATTTAATTTCCATGTACATTTATTAATTACATGTATTTCTCAGAGAGTGGTACCGTGAACATCATGGGAGGAAATGTGACGGTGGCACAGGACGAGCAGGTGGAGTTCCAGTGTGTATCGTCCAAATGGTTCCCCATACCTACTGTCAGCTGGACCTGGAACTCTGAGGCTGTGAACAGCAGCCTGTACATCACCACCAGCATGGCTGACGGGGATTTCTTCAACTGCACCAGTGTCCTGAAGTTCCAGGCAGTCAGAGACACCCAGATAGAGTGCCGGGCGACTGTGGAGACACTAGCCAGCCCACAATCCAGCTCCGTCTACTTGGTGGTTGGTAAGATCCGCCACACTCTCAATGTGTCTTGCAAAAAAGCCTCCTCTCAGCTGTTCTGAAGTTGGACAAGTCCAATAGTTGTGTTGCTTAGTTAGTTTTCCTCAAAACAAGAGTCTGGAATTAAAAGGTAGTTTTTTGGTTGCCTAGTGGTAGTATCAATATAACCAAGTCTAATTTTACACTATAGAGTGGAGCTTTGGCGACTTTTTAGGCCTACCCTGTCTCCTCCTTTAAACACTGTCGTCTCCAATAAAGGTTAATCCGGCCCAAATATATAAATAATTGCTAACTACAACAGAGTACAGGTGAGGCTGACGGGAATATCATTAGTTTTGATGGTATTCTAAAGACGAATTACAGTATATATTTTACCTAAAGATGATGATTGATATAAGGATTAGTTGATGTCTTTATTACCTCTCAGTTGCAATAATGTACATTTCTTAATCCATGATTTAGGAATGTTTGAGAACCTGCAAAAAGACCATCTCTACTCCTGAACCTATGTAACTGAAGAATAATCTGATAAAACCAGATCTTAATTGAATAAAAAACAATACATGATAGAATTACACTAAAAGCAACATCCATTAGTGTACAGCTTCCAACATGGATAACATGCTGTCCACAATGGAGGAGCAGCACAAGTAATAGGGTATGCATCCATTTCCATTAAGCCCATTTGGAAGAGATTTTTACAGTGTGGTGGATTAAGGAGACGCCTCAGTGTCTGACTGCAAGGTGCAAACCTGCATACTGCCCATTTGAGATATGTTAGACTTAATTCTCACATCAGCCTATAAATTCAGGCTCTAAATACTGTATGATGTAATAATCCTTCACCACAATTCTCCCATCCAAACAAAAGGTATTGGAGAAAATGGAAACAATGTCCACAATTAGTCTGTGCTTTCAGTGTGTGTGTCCTCATAAAGGGAATGTTTTGCCTCTCATTTTGGATGTGTCCAGTATTATCAATTTGACACATTAATTTGACAATTAAATGTCTTAAGTCTTTGAGTGTCTTCTCTAACAGTTCCAAAGCCTACGGACTGGACCGTGCTGATAGCTGTGGTCGTGTCCATTGGATCCTTTGCTCTGCTGGTTTTGCTCATCATTGGAATCATCTTCTGCTACAAAAGGAGGAAAGAAAAAAGTAAGGCATCATTATCTTGGTAACAAATTATATTGGTACTGTATAAAGCTCCACAATACAGTATGTCCGAAATCACTAAAGAAGTCAAACCTATAGTCTTCAGCAAACATTATCACATTAACTTTAAGTAATTTGTTGTTGACAATCCTCTGCAGAAACCAAATACGAAGATGAAATGAGGTAAGATGGATATTTTGTCACTACTCTTAACAACAGCATGTTATTGTTGTATCACAGCATCTACATGTGTCCTCTGTTATCAATCATGTATGTGCAGCAGAAGAGTGAGGAGTCAGAGCCAGATCAGTACTGTCCATGGAGCGGGACAGAATCAGGGCCAGGAGAACACAGGATATGTGCCAGAGGGTCAAACAAGTAAGACTCAAACTTGCATGCACACACACAAGCTTGATACCTATTTGATACCTGCCCCACCAAGCTACAGTATAATCTACCCGTGAGAAATTAAGTCTATCCTGTCCCTCTTCTCCGTTCACAGGTGTTGCTCCCAGTGAACTCACTGACAGCGGCTTTTTCCCGGCAAATGGCTCCACTTTTTCTGAGGTAAGGTTTTTGAGATATTGTTCAGAGGTACACAGTGATAAGCATTAGGAGCAACTTAATGTTGGCATGTGGCGGTTAGGTCATGGGGACAAGAATAATAAGACACCCCTTATAAACTTTTCCCACTGAACTGAGTTCCGTTTTGAGTTCCGTGCTTGGGCTAGTGTTGGTTAGTAGTTGGTTTAACTTGCAACCTTTGTGAGAATCACCGACAAGAGCTCAATACACTGAAACAACTGAAATGTTGATTTTAATTAAATATAATGTCAAAAATAATTTACACAACTGTATTAGTTGAAAGCAAGTTTAAATAAAAAATATTAGGTTCAACTTAATAATGTTGCTTTCAACTAACCTAATACAGTTATGGGAAATGTGTTGACTTAATACATTTAATTAAAGTCAACGGTTCAGATTTTTGAGTGTAGGTGCAGTTCAAGATGTCATAGTTAACGTTGCTGCCATTCCCAGCAACCCAAGCCCAAATTGTTTCTCGCAATAGAAACAATGGCAAACTGCGTCAGATCCTATACTAACAAAGCCGGCAAGAACGTATTTTTTAATTCCTGTGCAGATCGTCGTGGCTAATGGACGATAGCTGGGGGGGTTTGGGCTTGTGTTTCACCATGCACCATACAGTATAATGTGTCCTAGTGGCAGCTGCTGCTTAAAGTAATGTTTGCTATTGCATATTACCCCATAAATTATGTTTTTCTCAGTTTTAATTGACAATGTTTGGTAAAATATCACCAAAGGATTGAACAATAAAATATCTCTGTTTGTTGTATTACATGGAGGATGTTAGCCAGTCTGACGAATCAGTAAAATACATTTACAGTTATTTTTGGCTAAGTTTAGAAGAAGAATGCGGTCACACATTGTTTAAAACAGTAAAAACTTGTTGCCATCATTGTGTGATAGCCGTTTATATATATATATATATATATATATATATATATACACACATATATACAGTACATACTATATACATTTTTGGGGCTGGCAAGCGCTGCTGGCTATCAGACGACGGCTTTAAACCTGGGCCCGGATCTGCCTCGGAGGAATATGCCTATCATACAGATATTATGTTTAAGAGAAAGAGAGTTATAGCTTGAAATCTTTGCTATCTTTAAGAAGAAAATTACTTTAATAACTAATCTTGCTTTTTGTTTTTAGATGCCTGATGTTGTGAACAGTACCCACACAGGAAATGCTTACATCACTATGGATAAACCCGCTTTCAGGAAGCACAGACATGTCACCATTGTGTGAGGACAGGAAGACGACGAGGAGGTCAGCAATGTTAAAGGTCCCCTATCATGCAAAATGCACTTTTCAGAAATAAAACCCTCTCTCTTTTCCTCCGTGCGCAAATCTCTAAAAACGGGGGTTCAACGGAGCTGATCCAGATTTGCTGCCGATATGACGTAATATCGTAAATGTGGACTGGCTTATCAGAAACGCCCTATCAGAAACAATGCACAACGTTTTGGAAGTAATATGGTCTTTATTTACATTAGCAAGCATCGCTAACACTCAGAGCTAACCTGTTCTGGAGAGAGTATATGTAAAGAAGCAGGATATAAAAAGGAACTCACCTTGTGGTAAACCTGAGAGAGAAAAAGCATTTGAGCTCCATACTGTTTCAGAAATAATCCTTGATGTGGTTTGGAACATGATATGGCGTTTAACCACCGCAGCATTTAGCTGAGTATCTGCCGGTAGAATTCTCTCGCACGAGCAGGCATAAGCTCCGCCCTCTCTCTTTTTTCTTTTTTTTAACCTTTATACCCAGAATCAGCACTTTAGTAACAGGGCTGAAATAGAGGGATATGAGGCATGGCTAGAATGGGTGATCTGTTTGGTATTTTTGAGTAAAACACTTCATAGACATGTTTTTGTATAGATTTGTATATATCTGAGACCTATAATATATGCCTAAAAATAGCATGATAGGAGACCTTTATGCAGTTCTGGAACACACTGTTGCAAAAAGGAGTAAGGAAGGACCGGCTCCTTCTGAGTGTGTGCTGGAGTAAAGACCATCACATCAACACCTGGAGCAGGGATCGAGGCTGGACCAACACTACCTGTTATGGTTGTTCTCATTTGGTTAATTATGTTTATTCTAGTTTATACTGAGCAATATGTTTTACTGATGTGTTAAAACAGAATGAGCCGTACATGTCTTAAAATGCAATACTCCTTATATGTTATACTCTTCTGATCTGTTTTAAAGATTGATGAATTAATTAAACAAGCAATAAACCCTTTTACATACAGAAGTTGAGGAGTGTGAGATAATTGATAATAAATACATCTAAAGGTAGTCTTCCCGTCTTAACTGATGAAGATTATTTTGTGTAATATTATATATTTATTTAATTCATAGTTCAATTTTCTTCAGCCACATTTGGGTTTCGATACCCAGCTACATTTGCGAGAAATTCATGTGATTTATAAATACTGTATATTCAAAATGCTTGTGTTTGTGTTTCTGGAATAAAGACTATTTTTCTATTCATAAAGACTGATTTGTATCCTTTATTACTGTCTTTGCAGTTTCCCAATGTGGGGATTCATTTGAAGAATCAGTTATGTCCTTAAAGAAGAGCTAGTCTTTCCTGAAACCTGTGAAATGCTGGGTCTTTAAGCAGCAAGACTAGAAGCGCCATCTGGAGGGCATTTGATGCAGTTGAAATTGAAAGGATTGAAATATCTGTAATATCTATTTCAGGAGAATGAATTATGTAGTTCTGAGGAATATGTTTATAATGACATTATTTCTATTTGATTTAATTTTGCGGCCTGTCCTAAATGTATTCCATTTGCCACCCCTTGTGGAGGTGCATCCTGTTCTGTGAGCATGTGAGTTAGACTGGGGAGAATGAAAATCTCATATTTATCTGACCGAGATGCAAGGGGTTGGTTGAACAGAAGAGTCTGTGTTGTTAGGAGCATGGGCTTTAGGAGCAGGAAAGATAGAGGGTGTGTGTGTCATAAAATTGCAACACTTGCACGAACTTCTATTTAAAGAGACGTGATAGACCAACCCTGTGACTAATTCAGTTAGTAAGGAGAATGGAAAACAGCTGTGATGGCCGAGTGGTTAAGGCGTTGGACTCGAAATCCAATGGGATATTCCCGCGTAGGTTCAAATCCTGCTCACAGCGGTTGAAGTTTAATAATTAACACATTGCTGGAATTTGCTTTGATAAAACTGCATATTTATGAGAGGAAGGGTGCAAGGTTGCCATCTGTCCTTGAGCGAGGCTTCTCTCTTTACGCTGTATAGCCGCCCACTGATGTTAATACTAGAGAAGTTTAGAGTCTAGATATCTCGGTGTTTGTAATCAGTGACAATTGATTCTACGGATGGCTGTGGCTCATGGTGGTAAAGTGCTGGTCTGCAAATCAGGGGAAAAACTTTCATACCATCTCCTGCAGTCAACAAATCAAGCCATCTAGATAACCCCACATTTCTCCCCTCGGCATGTCTACACTGTTTAGGCTTATGTAAGTTAGTTTGGATATAAACGTCTGCTAAATAACATGTAATTTGATCTATTGCAAAAATCAATGATTGTGATAGCAATGAAATATTACAATATTCATCCCCCCACCTTTTGAGGTGCTCAACCTTGTGGATCTTGCACTACTAACAAGACTCCTCGATACACTGATGTAACTGCAAACAAGTCAATGAAAACCTAAATAAAGTAAAATAGGAGATTTTTCTGTCAATATAGCCTGGATATTTATGAGCCAGTAAACAAGGCAAGTCGACAAGCTTGACATTGAAAACACCTGGACAAGGATGAAATTGTATACCACAAAGCCTTTCAGTTTCTTATTGTGTACATTTTTGGACGTGGTCAAACCTTTTTTTGAGTCTGCATTGATGTCCATTCATCTAAAAAGACTTCATTAGCCAAGGTAGCCAACTGGACCACTGCTAACCGGAGGTGGCGTATCTACATATCTACAACTGCACTGGAACACTGTATGTGCTCTGGCTGTGTTTAAAGACTGCTTAATGACAAAGAAAATGTGAACAGTAACAGGACAGAAACCCTCGATCAGTGCTGCTGTCATTTCAAATTAAATTGCTATTGCCGCAGGTCAAGCTGTTTCTACTAGAACGGAAAATCTTTCTTAATGGAAAATCAATCATTTAGAAATCACCCTGTTTTGTCAAATGACAAGTTATAAGCAGGCTTCAGCATCGGGGACATGATCACTCTGTCAGGGTTCATTTCACTGCACAATAAAAAACATATAGCATAAAAAATTATATTATGTATATGTATATTTTCCGAACTATAAATCACGATTTTTTTACCTGTCTGGCTGGTCCTGCGACTCATACTCCGAAGCGACTTATATATTGAATTCTCTCTGACTGCGTTCAAACTCCGGCCAATAGATGGTATTGTATACAATCCTGACAACTGAAAACTGCTGTACCACCGAAGAAGAAAGAAGTCACGGCAACTGGGAGGATGTGTTACGTAACTTTCCAGGATGTTGTGGGATGGATCGACACCATCCTGTCGGGATTCAGAAAGGTCTAATCGGAGCTGGTTCTGATGGAGAGTCCGAGGACAGCCCGGAGCAGGACACGCTGCTTCATCGACACCTCTGTGTCGCTGTTAAACACTTCCACCGGAGTTGGCGGAAGTGTTTAACAGCGACACAGAGGATGAAGACTTCAGTGGATAAATGCGACTTATACACCAAAGCAACTTATATTCAGGTGCGCCTTATAGTCAATATATATATGGTAATTTTATTTTATTTATTTTTTTGGGTCAATCTCTGCATCAGGAACATGCATTAATCTGCTGAAGATCAGCTGAATATTTATCAGCGTGTTTCTTTTAACATATTCACTTTATCATTTACTATTTAAAATATTTAGTTATGTTTATTATTTCTTAACATATCACATTTTAAATCAAATTGTGTAATTGTAAATAAAGCAAGTTATCTGTCCTAAGTTTCCCTATCTATAACAAATATTTAGTTTACACTAAAATCCTAGAGCCCTACCTAGTGGTCAATTTTTTCTGATAAATGTCTTGTTTTCAATTTGGGATTGTTTCATTATTTTACTTGCATTTTCATGATCCCTCATACCCTGACAACACAAACTGAAGACAAGCCAAACAAGTAGCAGGTGGTTGAAAATATGTTGGCTGGTGCCGGTGGGCCTCATTGTAGAGCTGGAGAAAAGGATATTAGGGTGTGATTAGAGGAGAGCGAGCGGCCCACTCAATAAAAGCAGGAGCAGAGAGAGAGGACTGCAGCTCAGTCTCACTTCACCGAGAGCCAGACACACAGCGCAGCCATGAGCGAGGTAGGTGCTCTTCTTCTTCATCATGATATTCCTCTGTCTCCGACCTGTCCAACTGAATCTGAAGACATGTGTGACACTGCTGGATGAATTAGCTTTTAAATGTTGTGCTTTGTCATAACAATCTGAGCTTTCTGCATGAAAGGCATGCTGGTTTAGCCCTTAGTGTAATATTGCATGACCAGTGATTGGAGTAGTAGTTTCTTTGATATTTGTTGTGCAAATGGACAGTGAATTCAAATCAGTCTGTGAGTCATTACAACTTGTATGTGGATCTCAGAGAGGGCAGTTAGATTCTCATCATGTCAGAGAGAGAAATTACAAAGGATCGCAGCACAAATCTTTTCACTGGAAGCACATCATGTCAGTGAATTTTTCAAAGCTTGCTGCTCGACTTACTCACAGTGTGCACGGAGTGCGCTGCCTCCAATAAAAACTGTAACCATCACACTCAAAGATCCTTTGAATCAACTACTGTAAGAAAGAAAGTGTTTACTTATTTCTTCTCCAAATAGATTTCGATATGTCATAGGAGAGAGACAGTTTCTTCGTATATTGCGTAACAAAAAGTGACCCATGGTAGACATTCTATCCATCTAAAAACTGCTGTTGATGTGTAAAATGGACTGCATTTTTATTGTGCCTTTTTAGTCTTTGAGCATTCAAAGCACTTTTAAACTACCCAATCACACATAGTGTATCACACCAATCACACATAGTGTATCACACATTCACTAATCCTAACCCTAATCCATGCAAAGTGCTCATCTTCTAATCAATGATTATTATGTGTTTCCACTGCACTGTTTCTTAATGCTCTTAATGTCTTTTA